GTCACTGAAGGCATATGGAAGCAGTTATTCAAAAAAATAGTCATAAGTTGAACCCATTCAAATCCAATCTGAGTGACTTTTCCCTCAATAAGAGTGAAATAAGATAACATACCCAACATTTCACGTCAGTTCCGCTAGTAGATGCCCAAAGATGGGGACCATCGGAATTATCCACATAGAGGAGCTATCAAAAAACGATATAAGAACGTCACATTAATTCAAAGACTCCGAAAGAAATGAGTGCACAATCACCTTTAGAACTGGGTTCGATTCCCAACCTATAAGAAATGAGTCATCTGTGTTACGAAGGGTTGTCGCAAAGATGTTCTTATCCCGTCCCGAAGAGTAGACTTCTGTCCAAGCAGGATTGGTCTACAGAGATGAGGTAAAATAGGACACACCTGCAACGTCCACACTCCTTCTGAATGCCGGTGGATAGTCTCAGTGCATCGGCGCATTCCCACTGACCAGAGTTTAATAGTTCCATCTGAACTTCCTGACAGGATCTCCTGTGCATCAGGACGAATCAGAAGGGCCCGGACATTGTCCGTATGGCCGCGTAATTGGCCGATTGGCTGGCAGGTTCGGGGATCCCACATCCGGATCAGTTTGTCAGGGCTACCAGCAATAAGGATCGACCCGGCAGGATCCATGGCCAAGCTGTAAATGCTATCCTTCTCATCAGAGAAAGAAGATGCTAAAGGACGGTTGAGAAATTATAAAATTACTTGTCACTGTATTATTCTTAGGAGTTAAATTACGAAGTGTGTTGACATCCCAAAGAAAAATCGCATGATCTAAACCGGCACTGGCAACTTCTTCTTTGTGTTGCGCATAAGCCAGGACGAGAACATAATCTTTGTGCGTTGGGAGGGTGGACATGCAGAATCCTGTCCGTGCATTCCAAACTTTGACTGTCGTATCATTTGAAGCCGAAATTACTAAAAAAATATAGAAATATTAAAATATGCGAAAAAAAACATGGGGAAAAGGTGACTTACGATACTCGCCATCGCAACATAAAACGATATCATTAACCCAATCAGCGTGATGTTCCATACTCTGCAAATAAGGGTCCTAACAAGTAAGTGATAAAAATAAATCTTACTGACTGGCGCTTTGTGTCCCAAACGCGAATCACGGAGTCTCGACCGGCAGTATATAACCTTTTCTGATATGGATCGTAATCCAAGGAATTGACACCGAACCGGTTACGACGCTCTTCTTTAGCTCTCATTACCATTGAGAGGCATATTTTCTTTCGGGAGTAATTCATGAGTGATGAAATGGAGGATTTTCAAAAAATCTACGGTCCAAGTGCCTTAATATATAGACATAATACCAGGAAGGGAAATTCACACCACAATGCAAGAAGGCCAACATTTTATTGGTCTGATAAAAAATACAAGTTACTGCAATTACCCTTTGCTAAGTTAAAGTAATAGGAGACATTCATTGATTCGATTGTGATTATTGCGATTTTAATAACATTGCGCAGCCTTATATTGATTTTATCTATTCGATTTTCTCGCTATGATCGGTGTAACATATTTTCCGGAGTAATGCCACCAATTATCGATGCGTGTCAATGATAGATGATGACTGCAGTACCCACAATTTTTCAATCTATTTTGCAAGGCCGATGCTAAAATGTTGGAGCCAACGTACTCGTGGCTTCGGTATATACCAGAATGAACTTCGTGCAGCTAGTGGACTCTTAAGAAACCTTTTAAACAGGAAGCAATTGAT